TCTTCCCTTAGCTCCATCCTCCACACAGTTGCAGCACCAGTCTTTTCAAAGACCGATTGGATTGGATTCACCACTGCCTTGCTCTGAAGGGCTCCCCGTGGCTCCCCGGTGCTCGGTGCAATTCCCTTCAGGATCCAGCCCTAATATCCTTAACCTTCCCGCCATCCCACACCCCCCAGACCCATCCCCATGGCAGCTCTGCCCTGACCACCCTGCCTGGGGTGCCTCTGGCCCTCTCTCTCCCCAGCCCTCCTTCAGGATCCAGATTCGATCCTCCTTTTCCAAGAAGCCTCCCAGACTGCTCCAGGCTCTGTAGGTTCCCCTCCTCCAAACCCTATGCCCCCTGTACAGTCTAAGAAGTATCTAAGCCCCGGAGTTTGGGGAATGGTGTCGGGAGATGAATCAGTGATGAAACAGTCCTTTCTTAGACTGAGGTTCCCATGCAGAGAGCAGCCTGTTTACACACTTGTCTGACATAATTATTAATAGCACCCGCTCGGGTTCAGTGGCCGTGCTGGGACAGGATGGGAGGGTGAAGGCTGGGTCCAGAGGCGATGCCCTGACAGTGCCTACACAGGGCACCCAGCAGGGCCGAGGGCGGTGGGTACTTATCACCAGGGCTCCGCTCAGAAGAGAGGCAGGACTACGTCAGGCTCCCTGACGTCAGCTGGCTTTAAAACAGAACACGCCAGATAAGAGCCCGGGATTGCTTTTATCAGGGGCCACAAGAAAGGCGCCGGGTTTAATCTCAAAACCACACCCGGAATCAACGGTTCAGAGACCTCAGGCAACCGCAGCCTCTCCACCCCAACACCCAGTGACTGGGGATTTACACCTGGAGGGAGGGCAGGGGGGCACAGGCGCAGGCTAGAAAGGGGCTTCTTCAGAGGGGGGGTGTGGACCTTGGGCTTCATCCTCCAGGATGAAACAAGTACCTGGGCAGACAAGCAGCCTCAGGCCCAGGGATGAGAGCACTCAGCCCCGTGGTGGTGGTGGTGGCGGCAGCGGTGGCGGCGGGGATACAGGTGCATGCAGTAATGGGGAAACCTGTAGATGGGTGACCAACACCCACTAAGTGGAATCTAGGCCTGGGGGAACCACACTTTCAGCTGGTGAGGCAGCTGGGCTTCCTAGAGGCCTTGAAGACAGGCCTGGGGGTGGGGAGAATCTGACAGATGAACAAGGGGAGGTGAAGGGCAGGAGCCTAGTACAACACAGCACTGGCAAAGGTTGCAGGCAGCAGGGGGTCTCTACGGAAGCAGCTGTTGTAGCATGGTGGGGGGGCAGCTGGAGAAGCGATGAGATTAAGGAGCAGGTTGGTGTCACCCCCATGTCCCTCCCCCTTGAGATATCAGATCTACTTCCTTTAGCCCCAAGACCATTTGGTGGTCTGATCTCCAAGATCAGGGTTCCTGTGAAGGAGAAATTTTCTGGGAGGATTCTTAACTAAGGGCCACTATCTGGGCCTCAGTTTCCCCATCTGGAAAGAGAAGGCCTTCAGTGACTCCTCAGGACACAGGATGGGTGTGTATGGGGACCTGGGCCAGACAGTGGGATGAAGCACCCGTTCATGGTGGCACAAAAGGACGGGTGGAAATGGCCAACCGCGGGTTTCCACGGTCACTGAGCGCCCACGCACCCAACCAGTGGGCTCTGATCTCTTGCTTGTCCGGAGCGGGTCTGCTGGAGTGACATGCAGGCTCTGGCAGGGTGCCACCCAGACCTCTGGGGCAGCTGGCCGGCTCACTCACCCACCCACCCATCTGCCCACTCCTGTCCTGCATTAAGCAATCTCTGTATCGCAAATGCCTGGCATTTTTGCCTTGTAGTTCCAACTCCCGGAGCTCCGTGAGGATTAGGGCATGATTAGGGAAAAGGGAGGATTCTCATGGGTGGAGGGAAATACCTGCAAATATACTTGGCAGCCTATTTTCTCCTGCAAGTTTCAGGAATCCAGAAGGGCTTGGGGGCCCGTGAAGATTGTCCACAGAGCAAAGGCCATCAGCGTCTGTCACCTTCATGCCCCCCTCACCTGTCACTCACACTGCCTTCCCTGGGAGCACCTAGGAGCCCCTCACTGTGCCCCCTGCCTCTACCCCATGCCACCCCCCTTGCCAGGACAGAGGCCTGCAGCACAGTTCTGTGCAGCCCTTGGGTCCAGGGAAGAAGTCCCCGCCCCTAGCCCATGGGGAAAGGCCACCACCCACTGCCTGCCTCCTCTCCTAAGCCTCTGGGGCTTCCACTGTCGGGTCACCCCCCATGAGACCTACAGACCTGGACACCCAGTCTCTTGGCTCTCAGCATTTTTTTCACCTGCAAAGCCCTTCCATCCAATTGTCCACTTGTCAACACCCGGCCTGTCTGTCCAGACCCAGGTGAGAGGGCTGCCACCTTCGAGGGGCCTCCCCGATCCCCCTGGAAATATGAAGAGCAAACCCTCATTGAATCCTTGTGAAGGAAGGGCCAGGCCCTACTCTATGCGCTTCACAACATGTGGACCCAGAGAGGTCCTGTTCCAGCTCTGGAAGGTGGACACTTTGCAAATGAGGAAAATGAGGCTCAGGGAGCTTATGTCAGGTGCTCAGGCCACACAGGCAGGAAGCAGGGGGTCAGCACCAAAGCCAGGCGGTCCGGTCCCACTGCGGCCTCTCTGGTGCAACGCCTCCCTGGAGGTGCCTTCTGCAGTTCCTCAGGCCCACACGGTCGTCCCCCAACATCGCAAGCTCTGCCGCAGAGCTGCCCAAACTTTAATCTGACGCCCTCATGGGTTTCATTGAAATGCAGCTCTGGGTCAGTGGGTCTGGGCGGGGCCCCTCTCTTCAAGTCCAGGGAGGGAGGGTTCAAGAAAACTGCGTGTGCTGCGTGTCCCGCAGAAAGAGCCAGTGACTCGAGGTCTCCCGGAAGAGCTTCCCATTGATGAGAGAATGGAATGAAGAGTCACCGCCAGACTGGTCTTCCTGCTCACACTGATCCCCCCAAATTGGAATTGACCCCCCTTTCACCCAGAGACCCAGAAACAAAGAGTGGAGAAAGAGAGAGGACCCAGTGGGAGGTCACAGTGAAAGGGTAGAGCTCCTCCCTTCCTACTGAGGTCTGCTTGTTCGATGGACCAGACCCCAGAGATGGGGGCAAGTTCGGGCTCTGCCCTTGGGAGGCCACTCACCTCTAGGACATGGTTGGCTCTTCATCTTGAAGGAAAAGAAGGGGATGTTATTCCAAGTTCAAGGCCATTGGGAAGCCTAAGGGTCCTCTCCCCAGAAAAGTACACATATGTACATGTAAACAAAGATTTCAATATAATTTGGGGGTATGGACCTCTGAAGCTTTCCTACAGCCTCCCTAGAAAGCCATGCACCCCCAAGCGTGAGTGCCCACGGGCAGGGATGCTGGAGCCTGTTTCATTCCTGCAGGCCGACTGGCACTGTGGGCTTGCTTACTCTCGCTTCCGGCCCAGGAAGGGGCAGTGCCAGGCTTTGCTCATCTTCTATTCCAGAAAATTCCAGGCAAAGGGCATCAAACTGCATGTGTACTTGTCTTGGCTTCCAGGAAAGTGCTTTTCTAATTTGTCAGAACTAGCCTTCTCAAACAACACCAGGAATATTCTGATTTCTCCAGCACTGCCACTCAGACCTGGTCAAGAGGTTAAGTGAGTTTCATTGAAAAGACAGCTTTCCTTCCAGGCTGATAAACAAGGCTGCCGCAAGGAAACCACCTTCCTCGCTGGTCACTCAGCTGGAGCGGCTTGTCCCTGGCCAAGGAAAACAAATGCATAAACGTTTTGGGGACATATAGGAAGCAGTTCTGCTGGACGCCTGCTGTGAATGGTCACTGGAGTTTACACAGCCAGCCCCGCTGGGGCCACCGCACAGCCTGGACAAAGCGCTCCCTGCCCTCTCACTTCCCTCCGGGCTCCGCCCTGCCCGGCCAAACACACACAGTCAGTCACAGACATGCACAGCCCACGAGAGCACAAAAGAAGCTCTTTGATGGGCACCACCAGAGGCCAGCTGTGCCCCCCGCATGCTTGCGCTTACAGAGGAGGGTCTCGTTTCAGCCAGCACTGCAGTGAACACAACCCCTGAGCTGCCTGCGTCCTGAGTCCCAGGGGCCACTCAGAGCCTGGAGACCGGCTACCACTCGGTGTTCACCGGCCTTTGTGGCTTCTTCCTGGGCCAGGGATGATCTTGAGTTCGACCCCTTGTGTAAACACCCACCTCTTCAGGCACCACTCAGAGCCCCGGCCCAAGTGCTGGGCGGGCACAGCAGGGATGGCGCAGGGCTGAGCTCCTGCAGGCTCTGTCCCATTGCTGCCCACTGCTCTTGCTCCAACAGCCGTGGCACAGGCTGCCAGGGGCCGGGCCTCTGCCTCGGGCACCCTCCCTCCCTCAGTCCTGGTGCTGGGCTCCGACACACTGCCTCTCTGGTCTTTTTCACCAGCCTCCCGGTGTATCTCTACACTTCCATTTCTCTTTGCAATCAACGGGATCTGAATTAACAGAATGAAGGCGACTTCACCTGTAGTTTTCCCTCTGTGAGGGACTGTTTTTCCCAGGCCCACTGTTCCATCCTGGCCCTGGAATCCGAGGGTCCCCACACACTGCTCACCCCCACCCTCAGCTGGCTCCTGCACATGCCGTACTGCGGACGCGTGGGGGACCACACCCAGTCCCTCTGTCCACCCCCATCCTACTGCCCTCTGTGCCTATGAGGCCTCTCCCAAGAAGGTTCTTTGCCCCACACCCACTTGGCCAGGCTCACCTAGCCTGCAGGCCCACAAGACTATCCTCCAGGGCCCCAGGAATCCAGGTCTGTCTGAGATGGGTCAGCACGGCTTGTGATACCTGGTGCCTTAGACCTGGGTGTGACCAGTAGCAGTCCTGCTGAGCCCTAAGTCCAGCCAGGAACACCAGGAGGCCAGAGTTCATCACTTGCCTGCAGGGACCCTCGTAGGGGACATTGTAGCCCACAGGTCACCAGGGCTCTGGGGTCCCTCCACCCAGGACTGTTCCCACTTGACCATGAATCATGCAGACCTGTTGGTTTCTCTGTGACAACATAACAAGTGAGTCTTGGCTCTCGCCATGGGTTTCTCTCCTGTTTTATAGAAAGCTGGTTACCAGGAATGACGAGGGCCTACAGTCCTGTACCTGCCATATCAGAGGCTTGGCAAGGGGATGGCCCAGCAGGGAGCACAGGAGGGACGCAGGCTAAAGGCCGCAGAGGTCCCAGCAGCCGGCCTCCCTCCCGTCCCCGGCAGCCACAGCTGCGGGAGGGGGCCGCACATCATCACGGTCCTGGGCGGGCCCTTCGTGGAAGGTGCAGGGTGGCTCTGGATGCCTCTGCAGCTGTGCTGGCCCAGGTGGGGGTGACACCCTTCTGACAGACTCATCCCTGAGGCCTGGGGTCTAGCTGTCACCCCTGTGAAGGGCGGTGGAGCCACAGGACACAGCCACTCCAACACAGGCTCACAGGATGGGGTCTGAGCCATTCCAGTTCACGGACGCCCCCTTCCACCTAAGAACAGAGGGACAGAAAAAGAGGCTCAGAGCTGCGGGGCCACAGAGGAGCCATCTCAGGCCCTCGCTCACCGGAACTGCTTGTCTTGCCGTCTTGGAGAAGTCAGGTTCCGCCCTCCCCTCGGCTCCTCCACACGCACACACAAGCCTACATCCCAGGCCCTTATAAAACACAAATGCGCCCAAGGCCCAGGAGAGTGACGGAGGGGCAGGTCATCCATTCATTGCTTCCTGCCACAAGTGTTCACTGGGGACCCCCTTCATGCCTGGCAGTGCGGGGCCCTCAGCTCACGTGAAGGGTCTACACACATCTTTCCAGGGTGCCTGATGGGAGCACTTTAAAGGCGCATGGGAAAACCTCGATATGAAAAAACCCTGGCTCGTTCAAGACGCAGGAAGAGGTCTGGTCACTGGGGCCCGGAAAGGTGGGGCAAGAAGGGTGGCAGAAGGGGAGGTGGTAGAAGGGGGGGCGGCACTGTGCCATGCGTGCAGGACCTGGGAGGCCCTGTGAGCGTTCTGGGCTCTGCTCTATGAGCCTGGGAAGCTCACAAAGGGCTGTGGGCCGTTCAGTAAAACATGGATTTGCATTTAAACAAACAACCCCCCCCCCACAACTTTATGACACTCTAGGAAACACTGAGCATAATTAAACTGTAGTCCAGTCTTAGCTACAATTTAATAATAGTTCCATTCTCAAATAGAAGTTTTGTTCATAAGACCATGGCATCTCCCAGGTGGGCCTTTAATACGTGGCATTATTTTTCTAAAACAACTTGGGGGACTCACATTTCCAGCGGATGGCACATTCCTGCAGAACCTGGCATTGGGTATCTGACACGTATGCGCATCTCCTAAGAGTAACTGGGCTGGGAAACCGGCATCACACACCTCCAGAGCAGTGCCAGAGCACAGAGTTTGAGGCTGGGGTGTAGAAATGCTTTTCACAGCAGCAGGGTCTAAGGAGGGAAGGAGTAGACATTTCCAAAACCTGAAGTTTTTCTTCAGGGCAGAAGTCAAAATGGTAACTGCCACGGCAGAGAGAGACAGAGATGCTCTTCTCACTGTAACTGCACATGTGCATTAGAAAGTCCAGTAGCCCCGAGACCGGACGGCAGCAAGCAGGAAGGGACAGCGTCACTCAAAACAAGATGGTTGCATTCATTTCACAACCGGAGTTTGGAAGCACCGAAGGGTTTCAGCATGAACCCAACACCCCTCATCGTCGTGAACAACCTAGACTCCCACTGCATTTCCGTCTCTCTGCTTCCTCGGGCCTCTGCCCTTTGTCTGTCTTCACGCCTGTGCCTGGCTCCAGCTGCCACATCCCCGCCCCTCGCTTTTCGGTTGAGAGGGACCCTCGTGCAGAGGCTTGTCCCGGGTCATACATGCATCCTGCTCTTCAGCTCACTGCCCTCTCGTGCCAGACTACTTCCAGTATCTGTGAAGGCCGCCCGTTCCCCTGTCACATAGTTTGCATACTTTACACCATTCCATTCCCCTTCAAATGAGCAAGAAGACTCCTTGCCATTTGGAGAAGAGATCTTCGCAGCGCTCCTGTGCTTCTCACTCCTGTAGAGAGGCGCGGTGCAGGAGACACCTGCGCAGAGCCCGTTGGGAACAGCTGGTGCTGCATGCCCCGGGCTCCGCCCCGGGCTCCGTGGGGCCTGACCTCTCGTCGAGTGTGAGGATGCAATGTGCGGCATGGTCTGGACACAAGACACAGCCCTGCCTATTCTGCGCACGCCAATCAGCGTGCCAGGAAATCTTGATCTGGTCCAAGTATGAAAGCTGAGTTGCTGCCCCTGGTTCAGACACTCAGCGAGAGGGGCTGAGACGGGTGGATGATGGATAACCTGCTCAGCCAAGAAGGTCACGCTGTTTTAGGGAACAGGTCCCTCCGACCCTAGCCGTGTTCTCTTCAGTGTCACTGGGTAACACCCCATGATACTAAGACATGTCACCCCAATGAGGATGCATTGGTCTTCGGCAACCTGGCCTTCCCTTCCTGCACAGCGGGCCGAGTGGTGCTGCCTCCACACCTGTACCACTTGCTCCCTGGGACCCTCTGGTCACATGCACTCTGGACGTGCTTGTGTCTGCCTATGTTTCCAGGAGAGGTCTTCACTCCAGAGACACTGCTGGACGAGCTGCTTAGTGAGACACATCCCAGATCCCCCCGTGAAAAGCAGGGTCCACTGGTGTGCATCCACAGGCTCTGCCTCCCCTCATCGTCAGTCACATTGTGTGAACTAACAGGGTCGGCACCACTGGTTCCACTGGGTGTGGATGAAGTAAGTGATTCTGTGGTGTCTGGGTGCTTTAGACTTTGTCATGAGCTGCTGGGCATCAGCACGGAGGTAGATCAGGAAGAATCTATTAGGTGCCTAGGGACGGAGCCACTTCAGTGGAATCCATCGGCACCATCATATTCACCACTGCTCGGAGGAGAGACACTGGGGCTGTGTCTGGAGAAAACCAGACATGGCGGGAGAAGTGGGACTGCTCCTGGTGGTGAGTGCCCATGCCCGCACTGTCTGGGGCTGGAGCCTGATGACCTCCTTGGGCGGCTCTCGCTGGTGCGGGCAGAGAGAAGATGGACGCAGCTCTGGCCCGCATGGCTGAGCGGGTTCCAGAGGCAGGACAGTGCTGAGCGCAGGATCCCAGGGGCAAGGCTGGTCCGCTGCACCTGCCAGGTGATAATGCTTCAGCACTCTGTGGCCGTGCAACACGGGGCTTAATGGATGCTGCCGGCAACTCGAGATTGTCCGTTTTCTTTCTCTGTTCGTCATCTTTGAAGTTTTGAAGCATGTCATTTAAAAGCTTTTATTGTTCTATTAAGATTTGTAGGTAGGCATCAGCCTCTGTAAATTACTCAACCGAAGTTTTGGATGCTAGGGACACACCCTAAATCCAGACGTCAGAAAGGCAGCTGAAGGGGTCAGGGAGGAGAGTGGCATTCTGTCCAGCCTGGCCCTGGGACCCAGATTTGAATGGGGCAATGACTGTCCACAACTGGGTGGGTCCTCGCCCCCAGTTGTGGCAAGAATGAGGGGACAAGTCAGGGACAGACTGGACTTCCTGTGTCCCTTTACTACCCATCCTCAGCCTGGCCCTCCCCGATGCCTCCCAGCCTTCATCCTCGCCACTCAGAGCAGGCAGACGGAAGATCCTCCTCTGAACTCCCACTCCGCAAACACCTCAGACCCTGGCGGGACGGCATCTGGTCTCAGTGAGCCAGACTGGCCCATCACTGCATGAGCACGCCATGCCAACTGGCGCTGAGGCTTATGGCCAGGCTGTGGGGTTCACGCTTCATTTTGAGGGTTTTCACAGTGGCATCTAACCCACCCCTCCCAGCCAACAGGTGCCAAAGCAGGGAGACCATTGAAGCACCAGAGAGAAGCAGTTTGCAGTTTACAGCAGAAAATCAAAGCAGAGACGTTTTAAAATTTGAAAGGACTGACACAAAATTCATAGACTTTCGAAACCATTCCTGCCAGGGAACGGGTCCTGTGAGTCAATGACGAGGACAGCAGGGAGAGCTCTGCGCGTGCCTTAGGACCTGGCGGGATGAGGCAGGTTGGGACCTTCACTCCTCCGAGTGAAGAACAGCACCAAGGCCCCAGTTCGACGTAATTCAGGAGGAGGCTGAGGGTGAGGGCAGAGCAGGGCTTCTCGACCTGCACACCCCCGATATTTTGGTCCACATAATTCTGCTGCAGGGGCTGTCTTGGGCATTGTTGGATACAGAACCCCCTGCCCCCGCAGCTGCGACAACCAAAAGTGTCCCCAGATATTAACAAATGGTTCCTGGGGCACAAGACCACCCAGACTGAGGACAGCTGGCCCCGGAGTCAACCTCCGTGAAGATGCCGCAGTCCCTGGTGCCCAGGTGGCTCAGCATCACAGGGGCCCACCTCACAGCCCCACAGGGGGCGCTTCCTCCAGGGCCACCACCACCACCACAGAACTGCGGTTACTGCCCAACTGACGGTCAGCTCTGATGACCCGGACTGCGAGGGAAGAGCCCGTGTTAGCCAGGAGCAGGGGCGGGCCTGGTTTCGGCCTCGGGAGCTGACTGGCAAAAATATACCCCATGCTCCTGACTCACATCGCTCTTCCAGGCAAGAATCCCATGAGCAAGTTCCCTCCCTGGGCCCCACGGCCCGGGGGGGTGTCTCTCACCTGTGGCCTGGCCTGTGTTGTGCCTTCCACTCCCACCCTTCAGGATCAGACCCGGGACCCCTTCCAGAAGGGCTCTCTGGCCCTGGGGGTCAGCCCTCAACACGGCTGCCACCCTTTCCTCAGCAGTACTGCTAGGGGTCTCCCTCCCCCAACAGACTGTGAGCCCCGGAGGGCAGAGCTCGTGCTCGCCTCCGGCTCGGGGGTCTGAGCGTGGCGACCGGGTGCTGCAACCCCAACACCCCTCCACACCAGCTGCTCCTCTGGAGCCCAGAACACAGCGGGGGAAACCTCACTCTGTGCACACGCCCAACCCCTCCCCTTTGCCCCAGGCTGTCACAAAGCCCTTTCTGTAGCCCACAGCCACTCTCCTGTCCCTTGCCCTCTGCCTTCTCCCCTCAGGTGTGAGCCCCTTATGGTCCAACAGAAAGGATGTGATTACAACCAAATGACAGGTGGGAGAAGTCGGTGAGAGTAGAACCAGACCTCCCGGCGGCCATGCAACGCGGCGGCACAGAGCCGGACAGCAGAGGCCGGCCCCTGTTCTGTGCTCTCACCTGCACTGCGGAGCTCAGTGTTCTGCGAGCCTGTCCAGGTACAAGGAACACCCGGGGTGGGTGTGCGTGAGGGCTGCGGGGCCGGGGATCAGAGGGAGGAGGCTGGGGCAGTGGGAGCACCCAGGGAACCCTGCCACCGTGGGGGACCCTCGGGTGGGTAGGGGACAGCCAGGGGAGCAGGGCACTGGGCTCTAGCCCTGGAAGGCAACGCTCACAGCTGAAATTACATTTTCAATTTCCTGTCTGAGCCTGCAGACAGAAACATCTGGGGCCTGGCCCCAGGCCCCAGTTGTGAGTCTCTCCTCTCTTTTCTGGACTGCTGACAACTGTTTCGTTTTCTCCCACTCTCGCCAGGCTGGAGGGCTGAGAGTGGTCACGGTGTGCATCTTGTTGGGCAATGATCCGCAGTGAGCCGGGTTTTGCTGAGGTGGTTAGAGAACAGTGGGAAGAGGGGGGTGAGGGACAGGCCCCGCAATCCTGACACAAGCAAAGGTAACAAGAGACTCTCTGAGGTGGAGAAGCACGTCGCACAGGACAGTGGAGGCGACCCAGCACAAAACCCAGGGATCATTCAATTTAGGATGCTCTTCTCTGAAGGCAAAACCGGAAGTCTGGTCTTGTGCAATGTCGCCATGGCAACAAAGCCAGGTGGTGGGAAGTCACAGTGCCTGCTGAGTGACCTTCTGCTGGTCTGGGACAGCTGGAGCCTAAGCTCCAGGCCCCATGATGCTTGTGACTGGAGGTGACACCTGGGCGCAGACCTCCACTCAGGAGACCCTCGTCTGTAAAGAGAGGGGCCGTGCCTGGTGGTGAGCAAGGGCCCTTCTGTGGGCCCTCGCCTGATGCCAGCTGGCCAGGTGTATGGTGTGCTTCGTGCTGGATCAGGGTGAGCACCAGGGGTCCTTATAGGGCAACAGAGCCAGGTTTGAGGGTACATGGTATGTCCCTCCCTGGACCAGAGCAGAGTTGATTCTGAACTTGACTTCCATTTGACTGGGAGCTCTCTGAGAGCAAGAACCAAGTCTTATCCCACTGTTTCTTCCACGGGGTTCAGTCCAGGGTTCCACAGGGTGGAAGTGATGGGGGGACCTGCCTGCCCACAGACTGGTCCTGCTCGGTGAGCCCTGGTTGACCGCAGAGGTGACCTGAGCTCGGCCGAGGCACCATCCTACCCCCTTCCTGTCAGGGCAAGGGCTTCCCACGGCAGCAGGAAGTGTCCCTCAAAAGGCAGGGCCCATGTCCAGAGGGTCCTCAATGACCTTGAAGTTCACTTTCCCAAGTTTCTCTCTTTGAATTGTTTGGGAGTCTGGGATGAAAACAACATGCCGAAGCCTTTGTAATCCAAGCCCTGGAACAGGATTCCGGGAGGCTGGGCCCTCTGGTTCCCATTACTTCGGGATGTTATCTGATGGAGACAGATGGGGGACACCCAGAGGTTCCACTCCGCCCAGTCTACTTTTCCGGGAATAATGGCAGTAATGCTGGGAAAGTTTCACAGGTGGACCCTCACGGCGGGGCAAGAGGTGGGGGCGGTGGAGCAGGCAGGCAGCGGGCTCCAGGAAAGTCCTAGCGGACGACGGAGCACTCGCACCTGGAGGGCAGGGGGCAGGCGGCCAGAGGGGCCTTGTGTGTTGCATCAGGACAGATGCATTACATGTGCCAGATGCATCAGGCGCAGGAGGGTTGGCACCTCCATTGGCGACTGATCTCACAAGGCAGCTGGGAGGGGGGAGCGCTGCCCTTTTCAGGCCCTGGAAGTGTGGTCCTCAAAGTGTGGGCGGGGGACAGCACCCCAGCAGCACCTGGGAACTCCTCAGACATGCACATCCTCAGGCCCAGAGTAGACCTACCTGACCAGAGCCCCTGGGGGGTGAGTGAGCCCCAGAACCTGTGTTTTAGCACGCCCTCCAGGGGGTGCCCACTGAAGCCCAAGACCGTGCTCCAGGGCAAACCTTCCAGATGGGGGAGCCACAGCCAGACACCAGTGTACTGGACCATAGATCCCTCGGCCACTGGGAGCTGGGTGGGGTCTGTGCCAACCGGGGTCCCTAGTCTGGGTGTCCCTAACCCTGGGGGCTGCACAGATATGATGATCCCTCTGTGGCAGGACCAAGAGGCACTGTCAGAGGAGGAAACAGGACTCAGTGTGGCCCAAGCTCCTCGTCCGACAGTGAGCAGGGTCAGGGGCAGGGGCAGAGCAGACCATCTGCCCCAGGCCAAGCCTCACGCCCCGATGTGGCAGCCTCCCTCATCCTCTCACTGTTCATCTCCTGGCACATGGCCACAGTGGAGCGGGGGGAGGGCCTGGAGAGGGGGACAGCTGCAGGAAGAGGAAGAGATGCTCCGGGTCCACAGTCACATTCAGACGTGTCTGGACTGAGATCCCTGATGGAATGGGGCCCCATGTCACTTTCAAGCACTTGCCATCAGGGCTGAGCCCAGGAAGTCCACCCTGGGGCCCCCAGAGGTGCTTGTGGGTCCAATGGCAGAAGCTTTCCATGGAAAAAGGTAGGGCAGCTAGAGAGGTTCAGGATGATGGGCCGCCCCCAGGGAGGCTGCAAAGACAAACACACCTTCAGCAGGGACCCCAGAGGTCCGGAAGTGGGAGGAGCCCATGCCCAGGGTATGGTCCAGAGCCCTGCTCTACAAGCCCGCCTGCAGGAAGGATGGCCTGTGGCCTCCCAGCCCGTCCTACAGAAGGCGCCAAGGCCAGTCACTTCCCTTCCCCACTGCTTGCCCTTCTCTCATCACTCTGAGTGTCCCCTTTGTACATGAAAGGAAAGCGACCTGCACGTGCCTGTAATCCTCCCGATGAAAGAAATGCCGTCATGTGACCCCACAGGAATGCTTCATCCCCGGCCCAGGGGGGTGGGCAGGTGGGCAGGTGAGCAGATGGGCGAATGGGGGAGGCCCAGTGGGGACGTCCTAACACGGCCCAGGTCCTCTCCCTGCACACATGGTATCTTCTTTCTCTGTACCGCTCCGTCCAAGGGCCCGCTCGCCTCCGAGTGGGCAGCACCCCGAGGTTCCAGGCAAGCTGCCTGGATCTCAGAGCTGCAAGGCCTCAGCCATCACCCGGTCCCTCCACCCCAACCCTGATCACTTCACAAACTGGAAAACGGAGGTTCACCTGATGTCCCACCGACTCTTGAGTGGCTGAGACAATAGTAAGGAGAGCTGCTTACAGAGTGCTTGGTGGCACCCCTGCAACTGCAGCACGCCAGGACCCAGGCACTGCCATGACCCCCGCCTCACAGAGGACCAAGCGAGGCCTGGACGGGTGAAGTCCAGTGGCTCTTAGCCAGCAGGGGCAAGGCCAGGATTCGCACCCAGGCAGCCTGGCTCCAGAACCCGAGCTCTGAGCCTGCGCATTGTACTGCTTCCCCCAGAGAAGGCGCTGGAATCCAGGCCCCTCCTTCCCCGGCCTTCCCCTCCTACCACACCCAAAGGCCTCCAAGTCACCACCTCAAGGGTCAGCGAAGGGTCCCCCGGAGCCTGGGAACTCCCCACAGCTCCAAGCCCACTGCCTCCGTCTGGGGTGCTGCCCCAGCCCTCAGGCCCTGCTGGAGAACTCGGGGGTAAAGTGAGCCTCGACTCCCTGCCAAGTCTAGGCAACCCCCGGCCTTGGCCTGAATGTCAGACTCCAGTAAATACTGGGGGGCTGGATTAGAGGAGCCAGGGCCCCCCACCTGAGGCTAAAGGGCCGCTCCGCTCAGTGGGTCCAACCGCAGCAGCTGAGTGACCACGGCCACTCCTCCCCGAAGCAGAGGGTGCTGCTGCTCCAGGAAGCCACTCCCAACCACCTTCCTGTCCTGCTTAAGACACCCAAAGCTACCCCCAGGTAACCTTACCAGTCCTTCTGCCTCTGAACCTAACAACACCCCCCACACTGGGTGGCTGCTGCCCCGAGCCAGCAAGGGTCTCAAGGGCCCCACTCACCCCCAGCCCTCAGCTCAGGGACATCTTCAGAAATTGTCCCCCCACAAATGACACTCTTTTCCACCTGGGCCAGGGTGATCACAAAATACTTCACAAGACCAAGCCCCAAGTACCGTGTCTTTCCGGTCTGTGGGGGCCGCACCCCCTCTGAATTGGGGGGTCACCCCCCCTGCAGCCCACACCCCCACACTCCCGGCCACCCAGGTGAGGTTCCTCAGCCAGGGCAGGGGGCCCTGACTCACTTGGTCCTGATGCAGAGCTCGAGGGGGGGGATGAGGTCGAGGTCGCCATCTCTGTCCTCAGGGACAGTCTGCGTTGTATCTGAAGAGGTGACAGAGATACACACTCAGGCCAGGGCCAACTGACAGCCCACCTCCTGGGACCCTCCTCTTCTGGCACCTCCTCTCACCTTCCGGGCCCCCTCGCTCCTGCCCCTCAGTTCTCACCTGGACACCACAGCAGCCTCCTCACTGGCCTCCCACCTCCAGTCTCCATCCCACCCTCCTGCCCCCCTTCAGCTACCAGAATAAGTCTATGTAAAAGACATCTGATCCCATCACTCCGCTGCTCCAGAACCTCCCAGGGCTCCCTACTGCCTGGAGGATAGACGCCAAACTTGTGGGCGTGGTATTCCAGGCTAACGCACGCTCTCGGGCTCTCCTCACGCTGTAGCGCCATCAGCTTCTCGGCCCAGCTCCAGCTCCCTGAGGCAGGGGGACCCTGACGCTCGCCTGCCGACCCCTGTCCTGACACTCAGTGAGTCTGCACTGCTCTGTGACTGCCATGGGCAAGTGTGCTAGGGACCGTTTCCTCCACTGGCCTGGAGGCTCCCCAAGGCCGCGCCGGATGGGGTAGGGAGGCGGCGCACCGATGGTCAGCCGGATCTGCTCCTGCTGGTTGGCCAGGCCATCGTAGTAGTATAGGTCGAAGAGCCTCTCGGTCCTCCAGTCTCGCAGGAGCCCCGGCTGCAGGCTGAAGAGGACGCTGAAGTGGCTCTCACTGCACACCACCCAGATGGGGAACCGAGGGGTTTTCAGGAAGCAGCCGACCTGGACAGGGGGAAGAGGGAAGGGATGCTGAGCATCTCCTGGCCAAGGGCCAGCTGACCTCAGGGGCCCAGTTGGAGACCATGACCTGTGTGTGATGCTGGCGTCCCCTCTTGCTGCTCACAGACACGGCTTGACTCCCAGAGCTGCCCCGCTGGCTCAGCCTGCCCCTCGCAGGGCCTCTGCCTCACAGACAGCCCGGCGGAGATGCTTGGTCTGGAAGCCCATCACCGCCTGGCACACAGGGCTGCCCGCTGAGCCCCGAGGTCCATCATGCCCAGACTGTCCTGCCCGGACAATGAACGACCTCCTGAACAGGTCTCCCCCACCCTACCCTGCCCATCGAACCTCTTACCAATCCTCAAACTACCCCAGCACGGCGAGTGCCAGCACCTGTGCATCCGCAGGGCATGGTCTGGAGGGCTGGCCTCCTCTCCAGCCCCGCAGGGTCTGGCATCACCCAAACCACCCAACCAGGGAGCACCAATCGCCAACTTGAGCTTTCTCCTGGGAGGTACTGGCTAGCCCCTCCTGGCACATGCCTCACTGCCTCATGAGGACATGTCTGCCTGCCGCTCACACCCTGGGCTGTGCCCTCAGTGCCAAGCAGGGGCATAGTCCACACAAGCAAACGTTTGAGGAACGAGGGTCCTCATGCATGAGGTGGATCGGGAACCAAGTAGGACTTTACCTGGAAGACAAAGGGGACGTGGAGCCACAGGGAGGAGGGAGGGGTGGCCTGTGGGTGAGCAGTCAGTGGTGACACCAGGGACCAATGTCCAGAGACATTCAGGGAGCAGTAAGGCACACTAGGGAAGGCCAGTGGGGTGGAGGGATGGGAGCCGGTACTTTCCTCCGGTGAGGTGCTCCCTCCAACGTCCCTGGTAGAGGGCCCTGTTGCTCTCACTGCCAAGGGGTCAGTGCCTGGCCACCCCACGCCTCAGCCCATTCTCTCTGTCACCTGTGACACCCATGGGCTACGCCTTCCCCACCCAGGCTTGAGTTTATTTAGTGTGTACATGCCACGGGCTGGGCTGGGCTGACTCTGTCCTAAATCCCCACCAGCCCCAGGAAATGTTTGCTTGCTCAGGTATTTACAGCCATAGCCTGTGGATTAATGAAAGAATGGGAATTATTTTTCCAGTGGGAGAAGGGCACACTTTCTCCGGGGCCTATCACAGAGGCATGGCCCTCCTCAGGCCCTCCGAGCCCCGTGGGAGCGAGTTCTGGGCTGGGGGAGGGGCTGCACAGAGCGCCCTGGGCCCGGTCCCTGGTGCAAGGCTTGCTGTGAACAGCTGCTGCCTCTGGAGGGTGAGAGGGCAACCTTTACAAGGTGTCCCTTTTCTCTTCATCCAAGTGCTGGGTCCCCACCTGGCCTGCTGCGCCCTCACTGCAGCCCGGTGTGACATTCAGACGTGACTTCGGAGCCCGCTCCTCAGTGGGATATGGGAATTAGATGTCTTAGAGAACGTGGCTGGACGTGCCTGAACCCCACCGCCAACTTGGCTTCTGCTTCAGGCTCCAAAGAGGCTTTTCTGGCAGGGGCGTCACCTCGAAGAGGGAGCCTCAAAGCCTGGGGACCCAGGGCTCATTCACGGCAGGAAAAGGAGCCACGCAGCCACCCAGAGGCAGGCGTCTGCGTGATCAGCCACCCTGAATTTTCCAGCGGAGGGACAAAAGGGCAGCTTGCCATTTATACAGCGGTCAAAAGATTAAAGGCAAAAAAAGCTGCCCAGGGAGTTTCTAAATGAGCTTTCTCATTCAGGAGCCTCTTCCAAGTGGGTGACATTTTCCAAAGATGAAGTTTCCTTCCTTGGACTCTGGGGTAGCTGACCAAAGGCCTGGGGCGAGGAGGCAGTGGGGGCGCGTTTCCTCCACCACCAGCAGAGGCTTTCTGCTGGGGGGTGACCACCGCGTGGCACAACCACTGACCACTTTTCAAAGAGGGGGCTCACGTCTTTGACAGGTGGGGGAGGTGCAGCCTTAATGGAACAGGGTGCACAGGTGATTGCAGGCAGGGCTACAGTCTGCCACCTCCAGGGACACCGTGCATCAACAAGGCTGCACTCTGGTCCCAGGTACCACGACAGGCCATGGGGATATGGCAGTGAGGGGCATAAGAACAGCCCTGTATGTCTTATGGCGCCTACCAGGGAGTGGGGAATGCAGGCGGTAATCAAATAACCCCGTGAGCCCGTTTCCACCACCTTCCACTGAATCTAAGATGCTGTTGGAGTTGCTGTTATTTTTCCCTATGGCCAAGAAAGGCAGCGAGCTGGCCATTCGCGCCTGACCGTCAACTGCAGTGCTGCAACACGGTCTCTGCAACATTCAAAGGTGGGGAGAGGGTGCACCTCACAAGCAATGAAATATAATACTTAGAATAAAAAGGGGCCCAGGGAGGAAAGAATTAAGATTCTATAGTGCAAAATGATAGGAGGGCTGGGGCCACGAGTGGAGAGCCCTGTTTAGACAGAGTGATGAAGTTAGAAAAGGCCTCCTGTAGGAAGTGGCATCTAAGCCACAATGTGCTGGGAGCGGAACCAGGGACAGGGCTTGCAGGGCCTTGCAGGTCCTGGGAAGTGCTGGGTCTGCAGAACTACGGCTGCGTGCGAGGGCTGCCCTGACCGAGCTCCACAGGCCAGGCGGCTGAGGCAGCGGACACGCATGTAAGTCTCCCAGTTCTGGGGGCTGGAGTCCTTGATCAAGGTGTCAACAGGGCTGGTTTCTCCTGAGGCCTCTCCTTGTGGCTTGTGGGTGGCAGTCATCTCCCCAGGTCGTCACATGGTCTTCGTGTGTATCCATGTCCCAATTTACTCTGACAAGAGCACCAGCCACAGTGCAGTAGAGCTCAGCCAACGGCCTCACTGAAACTTAATCGCCTCTGTAGGAGCCCTCTCTCCAAATACAGGCACGTCCCGAGGCACCGGGAGCTGGGACTTCAACAAAGCAATTTGTGGGGGACACACAATTCGTCCGTAAACAGGCTGTAACAATCTCAGAGACCTGGACGAGCACCGGAGCGAACACTTGATAAGCGAAGGAAGGATGTGCTAGGATCCACTCTCTAAAAGATCACACTGTGCAGGCAGGACACGAAGACAGTGGGGACGGGAGCCCCAGTGCAGCTGAGCCGTCACAGGTGCCCAGGCCAGCAATGCTGGTGACTCAGACTGGGGGAAACGGACTCAAGAGACAACGTAGGGTGGGAGCCGTGTGCCCCCCCCCCAAGGACTGGACGTGCTCCTGGTCTGGGTCACTGGGCAGACGGTGCAGTGTGTGGAGCGGGGGACATGGAGGAGGGTGGAGCTTGCAGTGAACACAGCTCCGTCTTTGCTGGGGTCCTTTCATGGAGACGGCAACAGACACCCCTTTCAGGCAGGGGAGAAGCACCAAAGTTAAACTCCCTGTCCCATGTAGTCCTTCCCAGACCTGTCAGTCCCCTGTCACTGTGACCACCACGAAGAGGTGGCCTTCAGCTACAGCCTGTGTTGCAGTCCAGCCCTCACTGCCGAACCCCGGGGTGGTGGGAGTGAGGGGGAAGTCCAGTGGGCAAGGCCAGACTGGTGGGGTCGCAGACGGCTGGGGAAGGCCCCACAGTGCCATGGCAGAGGCACAGACACTGTCCTGCTCTGCAGGGTCAAAATGCCTCCCAGTCTTCGGCCAAGCACACGACACAGGCGAGGGTCTGTGTGGACCTGAGGGTTCCCATCTTTGTGAGGCCTGAATTTCCTCAACCAGCATTTCACTCCAAGGGAAGGATGGCCCACCCTGCCCCCTACCCCCCAAGTGATATTCTCAGCAGTCGCCCTCTGCAGACCAAAGGAAACAGTTGACTGGTGGGCCAACGCCCTCAGCACAGGAATGGAACCAGGGCTCACCGCGTGGAAGCCGGGGATTCCGTGAGTGCCGCCAAGGTTACCCTCTTGGCCTGTGGAATCCGAGCTGCGTGTTTGCAGAGCCCACCCAGGGTCTGGTGCTCAGGGCCCTAGTACTTCTCACAGGCCACGTGGCCACATTCCTGGGCTTCTTCCAACATCAGCAGACCTGGGAAGGAGCCGTTATCATTCTTTTCCACTCAAGTGTTTGGAAGCCCTGAGTCTGCTTCCTGTCCATGGGGGTGGGGGTCGCCCAGAGGGGACACCTGGGGGTGGGCCACGCCACGCAGCCCATGAGCAATGGGACAGCACACCTGAACGTGTCGGGGTGGGAGGGGCATGATGAAACTGAGCCCTACCTTACAATGCCGGGCTCCAACCACTCTGCCAATCCAGTTGCCTAGCCCTCTGAGTGTCCCCTCGTGTCACTGTGTCCCTGGTTCTGGGGATACACAGTGAATGCGGCCTTGTCCAGACCCTCCGAGAACCATGCAGGGCAGCCACCATGCAAAGAGTTCCCACTGCCCTCCCGGGACAACTCCCTCGATGCGGTCGGCCGGAGAACCGAGCACGTGACAACGGAGGCTCAGAGAAGGACTGCAGCAGGCTGGGACAAGAACGCAGGGCCCGGCGCTCCCCTGCTCATGCTGCCCAGAGATACAGTCACAATGTCCCCTGTCCAGCTTCCCCCAGGGCCCTGTCCCGCCCAAGACCCTGGATGCAGTGAGAGAGGTGGTAGAGGGACCGATCCATTAGCAAACAGACTGAGGGAAGCCTGGTATGGGTGGAACTGTGTCTCCCAAAAACACAGGTTGGAGTCCTGGCCCCAGTACGTCGGAATGTGACCATATTTGGGTTGCTCCGGGCACAGTAGCTAAGACGAGGTTAGTGGAGTGGGGTGGGCCCTTAACCCAACAGGACTGACATCCTTACAGGAAGAGGACAAGACACAGAGGGAGAAGATGACCAGGAGACGATGGAGGTGGGGACTGGGGTGAGGTGGCAGTCAGCGGAAGAACGCCAAGGGTGGCTGGCAAACACCAAAAGCTAGAAGAGACGAGGAAGGCTTCTTCCTGCACATTCCGAGGGAGCATGGCCTTGACGACACTTGACTTTGGACTTCTGCTAGGAGAGCCTGTGCTCCAAAAGTGTGAGATAATGCATTTCCATTGCTTTCGGCCACAAGCTGACAGTGCTTTGCCACAGGAGCCCTAGGATACTAACACAAGTTCTGTAACTCCAGGTCCCCTGTCCCTGGAGAAGACACCCCCACCACACACACACACACACACACACACACACACACACACACACACACACACACGACAGAGGCAGCCACACTGCGACCTGCAATCCCACCATAAGCCCCTAAAAGTGCCTTTCAAACAGCCTTTCCCAGAACGTAGTACCAGTTGACCCTGAGTGTGAATCTGGAGCCCGGCACCCGAGGGCAGCAAAGCCACACTTCTTCCCAAACCCCCATGAGGGAGACCGGACTTGGATTCGCTCGGCTCTCCCTCCCCACCCCACCCGTCAGTCCGGACCCCTGGGCCCCTGCTACCTGGCACACGTCATAGTGCTCAAAGAGAGACAGCAAGCCAACGTCGCTGCGGGCCGTGATGCCTTTGAGCAGCGTGACGTTCCCGTTCCCGGCGTCCAGCTCCACCACGTCATTGAAAACGTTGGACACGGCTCTCCCGGTCAGGAGCAGATTGACCAGCTCCTGTTGATGAGGCGATGGGAGAGGCTGGTAAAGGCGAGCTGGGGAGCAAGGCAGAAAAGCAGGAGGAGGAGGGAAAGCGGGGAGGGAGGGAGACCACGATCAGGGGGGCTTTGACTTCAGCGACCCCACAAGCCCTGGGGCAAAGCTGCCAACTCTCCACATCAAGGCCTCTCTGGCGCTTGTCCAGCTCTCCTCCGAGATCGCTCATCAAGCACAGAGTGCGCCAGGCCTTGGTGGGGTGGGGGTCCTGCTGGAGGGAAAGAACGGCCCTGACCTTGGCTGTCGTGGTCACAGTGGGGGGCTTAGGTATGTGCCTGCCCAGCACAGAGTGTGGCTGGGGCTCCAAAACTGGGGTGCAGGGTACTCTGGGCCCAGACGGACACGCAACCATGTGACTGGTCCCAGCAACTTGTGGAGAAGTAACATTTGGGTGGGTCTTGAAGGAGGGTGATTTCTTTAATAACCTATGTTATTTTGAAATAATTTTAGACTTAAAAGCAGTTGTAAGAATAGTACAGAGAATTCCTGTGTACCCTTCACCCAGCTTCCCTCAGTGATAACATCTTACATAACCAGAGACATTTACATAACCAGAGCACATTAGCAACACCAGGAAATGGATGGCGGTGCCCATAACTCAGTCCCAGGCCTTGTTCATGTCTTGCCAGGAGTGGCGGGGTCTTCGGTGGTGGGTGGGGGGAGAGCAGCCGCAGCAGGGAGGTGGAGACAGGGGAGCCCCTATCTGGGCCCCAGCTCTGCCTCCACCCTGGTTGGCTGCGTGGGATCAGGGTTGAGAGGCCACATGGCTTCTGCCTCACGCTGACAGGCCAACAAGCCTGCTGACCCCCGAGACAGGAGATGGAGTACTGGGGTGACTGGAAGGGCCTTCCTCATGCAGAGCATCTTAGGGAAACTGAGGCACACAGATGGGAGAGGCCCAAGTCACACAGCTGGTTAGGGACAGAGCCAAGCTTCCACCCACGGGTTCCAGCTCCCTGTCCTGTGTCCCTTCCCTCTCCATTTATGGGTTACCCTCAAGGTACCACCTAGCTGGCCAAAGATTCAAGACTAAAGGTGGTCAGCCAGCTAAGTGCTGGCAAGCACTGAGGAAGGGTCTGAATGAGACAAGACTTGGAGCTTGGGCAGGTAGGAAAGACCCTGTCTAACCTACATCTATCCAGGCCTGGCGCATGCGTGAGGCCCACAGAGATCTCGCACCAGGCATGGGAACGGCCATCCCAGCCCTTTCCCTGGAGGGCAGAGTTCACAGAATTGTTTCCCCTGGACTGTGTGAGTGACGCCCAGTTTCTGATTCCCTCTGCCACCAAGACCCCTGCTCCAGTGCCAGTGAAAGGGGCTCCATTCCAGCTGCACAGGGAGACATCCAGGGGCCTTGCTGTGCCCTCACAGAGGAGGTGAGGGGGGGTCTGCAGGAAGCGGTGGCTCAGGGATACTGCCCCCAGGGAGCTGCGGCTACTAAAAGACCCGCCTTCGTCCGGTGGGGTGGACTTCTTCCAGCTGGTGTTCAAGGGGAAAGAGCAGGCTCCTGCTCCCCGTCCAGGGCGTGCCTCACCTTCCTCGGAGTGGGACGCCCTCCTGAAATGAGGAGAGGACAGCAGGCTGCGCCCTGCCCCTGTGCTCACAATCACACAGCGGCAGAGCGCAGGGGTCATCCGTCCCTTGTGACTCACAGAGTGGCCTGTGCGCCCGCTGCCCCGCCCGCCACTGGGAGCCTGTTAGAAACCCAGACTCGGCTCCAGTCCAGACCCCTAATCTGAGCCTGCCCATCAACGACACCCTGGAGGGTTCGTGTGCACATCAGTTTAAAGAACACCAGTCTAGTCCAAACACATAGTCTCACAAGTGAGGAAGCTGGGTCTCAGGGAGGGGGAGGACATCACCCCAGCTCAGTCTGCAAGTGAAACAGCCAAGCTGGCTCAGGACCCAGCCCCAGCTCGGGTCTGGCACCCTCTGCACCCGCTCTGCTGCCTACCCTGGGCTGGACTGCTCTCTGCCTGCCGAGGGGGTGGCTCCCACAGGAAGCCAGGCACCCGGGGGTGGGGGAGCAGGACCACCTAGGCAGCCAGGAAAGCCTGAGACCTTCCTGCAGGAAGGTGGGCAGCTGCCGCCCCACGGTCCCTCAGGTACCCAGAAAAAGTGCAGGCCTGCTTGGCCCTGGGGGGTGTCCAGGTGCTCTCAGGGTGGGCACAGTGAGCCCGGGCCCAGGGCGACTGGGTCACCCGCTGGGCCCAGCCTGTCTGTGCTACACGGGTGGGCTGGATTTAACTGTGATGCCCTGGCCACTCTGGGAGGCCCGGATATTCAAGGGAAGGTACAGACAGAAGCCAGGTGTCGCCCTTGGCCCCCAGCCCTGGTGCTCGCTCAGAGGCTCTTGAACAGGTCCTTCCCTTGGTGACACCATGACTGGGAGGATCAATGACAAACAGTTGGGCTCAGTGTCCCCCGTCCCCACTAAGTGCCCCCTCTGTGACCATGCAGAGGGCAGGGCTGCTGGAAAGACTCTGCCCTGTCAGATACGGGGGGCTGCGGCAGTCACCTCTCCAGCTGGCCCGGGTGCCCCAGTCTGAGCCATCAGCCTCCTCGGGCAGGCGCTGCAGGGAGCCACTCACAGGGCAGGCAGGGTGGGGGAGGGGGGAGGAAGGGAGAGGCGCGGGCTGCCCCTGACCTGGGTACAGTAGCTGTGTGCTCCGATCAGGTGGTTGGTGGGGACATCGAAGTCCTGGCGGATGCTGGAAGACACAGAAAACGTGGTGTTAGCATGTCTCTGCCTGACCCAGGCTTCGAGGCAAGCCTCCCCGGTGGCCAGGGCTCCCTCGGGTTCCAGCTGCAGCCCTCTGCTCTGGGCCCTCCCTCGGGCTGGCGCCCAGGGCTCCTCAAGACGCCCACACTCTCTTGAAGCACAGCCTCCACTCTGGCCTCACCAGGCCCTCTGCCCACGGAGCAGAAAGGCCCCAGGGTTTGGAGTCCAACATCCTGCCTTCACATCTCAACCGTCACTGATGGTCAGGACGGGACCTCCTCTGCCATCTTCTCCATGGCCTCAGACTCAGTCTGTGAGTCTGTTAAAGGGGAGGAATGGTCTAAAGTAACAGCTGCCACCACCTGGCACAGACCTTGTACCAGGGCCTGTACACACACACCGTTCCTGAACCCTGAGAAGGGAGCATGGCTCGGCACGGGGCTGACTTGCAGCCCAAGGTGCAAAGGGCCTTTGCCAACAGAAATCCCTACAACCGAAAGGAACTGGTTTCTGCTACTGCACTGCTTTTACCTGCCCGCAGTCAACCCCTCGGGAGATGAAGCGTCATCGTTGAACAGAGCCGACAGGTGTGCACGAGGGAACAGGGAGGGGGCTGCTCTCCACCGAACACACTCAGAGCAGAGCACTGTCAGCGCTCCGGCCCCAGGGAGGTGAGTTACTGGACAAGAGCTCAGGGAGGTGACGCCAGGGACCGGGCTCCCTCCAGTGCCCACATGGCCCTGGGTGCATGGCCCTATGGGCCCACCCAACCCGTACCGGGCCTGGCCTCCCCCTTTACCCCCAGCCCACAGAGAGCACTGAGAGGCGGCCCAGAGGCAGGAAGGGCTCAGCAAGCATGTTTGTTTTTCCTTTTCGTGGAAGAGAAGAGAAACCTGGGCTCAATTTTATGCTCTAACTCTAAGATCAGTCCACAAACCTAAAACACACGCCCTGGACCCTGTCTCCTTCCCAAACAAGTTTAGAAACACAAGCTCATAACCTCTGCAGGACGAAGGCTTTCTTGTGGTTTTTAATAAGTCTGGCCAAATGAGGCCAGTCTGTGGCCCACACGGGAAGACAGGTTGGAGTTGGAACCTCGAGTCCCAGCTGAGACCCACAGAGGCTGTGGGGGGTGTGGGGGTCTCAGGAAGGGCCATGGAGGCTGGCGCATCCAAGACAGCCCAGAGGGCCTGGGCAAGAGTCGGCTAGGGGACAGGTGGCCAAGGGCCCCACTCGGCTGGCATGGGCTCAGGCAGAAGAATTGATGGAAACGTTCCCCGTGGTGTATACAAGCATCTTTGGAAAAGAAGAAAATAACCTCAGAGGAGCCCAGGGTGGACCGATAAGCATCGCTGGCCCCGGGCCATCAGCAGCTTTCAGAAGCAGCCTGATCTCTGCAATCTCACAGCCTCGTGCTCACCCAGCGGGGCTGAGCGCCTGCGTCAGCTGAGAGCAGAAGGACAGGCAGAGAGGACAATGGGAGGAAATGGTAATTGCATCCTTAGGTGCAAACACGATGGGAAATTCAGTAGTGGGCTCACATCTTAAAAGGGAGGGACAGCTGTATTTCACATTAGGGCATTTGGGAGGCGCCAAGGAGCAGCTTATGGCTTAAGAGATTTACAACTTTGGCAAATCTTGATGCCCAGACCTCCCTCCAGGGGAATTCCCTGGAGAGCTGAGTGTTGAGGAGTCCTTGAGTGAGGAATGGCGGCCTCGGCTCTGCCGAGAGAAGGCAGCCCACACGGCAGGGCCGCCCCAGGCCTGAGCTCTAGGCCCACGTGCTGTGTGCCAAAAACCTCTCCTCCCTGGGCCTTGGGTTCCCCTGGTGAGGCCTTGGGCTCCCTGGGCCTTTGCGCAAGATGACTGGCGCTGTGGGCTGAATCGTGCCCACCAGAATTCGTACACTGAAACCCTAGCCCCAGTACCTCAGAATGTGACTGTATCGGAGACAGAACGTTTAAAGGGTGATTCGGTTAAGTAAGCCCATTAGGGTGGGCCCTGGTCCAGTCTCCTCAGTGTGCTTTTAAGAAGAGAACATTTGGACACATGGAGGGACACCAGGGCTGCATGTACAGAAGAAAGACCACATGAGGAGAGACAGTGGCTGTCCTCTGAGGAACCAACTCTGCCCACACCTTGATCTTGAACTTCTAGCCTCCAGAACTGTGAGACAATAGACATTTCTGTTGTTTAAGTTGCCCCATCTGTGGCGCTTTGTTATGGTGGCCTTGGCAAACGAATACAAGGGACCTCTGACCTCTTTCTGATTCAATGCCTTCTTCAGATAACATCTTGCATGAAGAAGCCCTGCACAGAAAACATGTGGCAGAGCCGCTCCGGCCGGCAGCTGTGAGGTCCCATCTTTCTCCAGCCCTGGCGCCCACCTCCCCTTGAGCCCCTCGGTCTCCAAGGTCCTGGGAGGAGGAAGCTGAGTCACTAGAGGGGCTGCCTGAGCTCGGAGGTCCCTACACTCTCTTCTCTTTCTCTGTCCCTCTATGGCCTGCGGGCCAGGAGGCCAAAACCACAACTTCTGTGTTACTGATGGGTAAACTGAGGCTCGGAAAGGAGAAGGGACATGTGGTCTTGTGGCCACAGAGAGTCAGTGGGCCAAGACCCTGTCTCCAACATCACAGTGCGGCCTGAAACATGTGGCGGTCAGGCAGGCTGGGAGCCCTGAAACCCCACTCCTGACAGGGAGCAGCTTGTCCCCTCACCCTGAAGCTGGGCCACATGTGTCTGAACATTAGAATGAATGAATGAATGAATGAATGAATGAATGAATGAGTGAATCTGAGCAATTCAATTGAACACTGTATCTGTCCATGTGGCCTAGAGACAGGGTTCCAGCTCACAGTCATAGCCATTCACCTAAAATCACCGTCCATGGGGCAGGTCAGTGGCCAGCTGAACCCTGGGCTGGCTGAGGGGCCTCAGGCAAGTCCCTGCCTCTCTCTCAGCTGTGTCTTCACTAATAAAGCCAGAGGACTGGAGCAAGGGGTCTCTGGGGGCCTTCTGGGGTGTGACTCTGACTTTTAAAACATCTTGCCTACAACAGGCAGTAATTAACCTGGGAGGACCTGACCAGCCACCTGCCCACGACCTGAGCTCCAGGACACCAGGCCCCAGGGGCACCACGTCATCCCTCAGGGACAGCTCCTGACTGTCCTCCCTACAGACCCTCCCCCAGACACGGGACTGTCCACTGCGCTCCCCAACCCCCACTACAACCTCCAGAGACAGCACCCCTTGTTTGGTGGGACCCCCATTCACCTCTGAGGACAGTGTCAACAGTGCAGAGGGCGGCTGGGACCAGCACAGAGGTCCTGGGCCTGGAAGTCAGGGAGCCCTGGATTCAGGCCCAGCTGCTGACCCGTTGTTCCCCCTCTGTGGGCCTCAGTTTCCCCACTGGCGATCTGAGTATGATGACGCCACCTTCTATTGCAGGTTGCTGTGAGAACTGGGTAAGGTATGTAAGGCGCTCGGTGTTTGGTAAATATCGCTTCCTTTTTCCTACAATAACAGCAGTAACAGCCACCACCACAGGAACAATGGAAGGTCACGATTCCTGCAGCCTCAGCCTTCCGTGCCAGGGCCAAGAACCCAGAGTACACAGAGGCCTCGTGGCCGTGAGCCTCTGAGAGGGATCTGGCTAGGGCGGATATCGACTCTTCCCAGGAAGGCCATGAGGAAGTGGGCAATGAGTCAGAATACCTGGGGGTCAGGCCCCCTTTGTCACCTGCACTGTGTAACCTTCTGCAAAACTGCTTTCCATCTTCAGAGATGGTGGGTATGTCATCCCCACCTTGGGTATGTCATCCCTGATGGGGACAACAATCTACAACCACCTCAAAGGGCTGTTGCAATTCGGACCCCAGAAAGGCCGGGCAAACTGCCGACAGCCCCACAGGAGCTGGAGAGGCAGGGGCTAGATGGGATCCAGGGGGCAGGGCAAGGTGCGTGGAGGGAGGGAGGGAGGAGAAAGCAGAGACGCCCAAGCACTTCCCAAGCGGCTCTCCTCCTCACCACCTCCCCATCCCCCCACCCCCATCTCCCCCTCATGTTGGCACCTTCCTCCCAAACCAGACCTCGTACCATTGGTCCCTGTCAACCCCTACCTCTGGTCTTGGCCTTCTCTGCTCCCGCTGCCTGCCAAGACCCTTCCTGCATAGCCCTCAGGTCCCTGCTAAATGTCACTCTTCCATAAAGAGACCCCGCACCTGGGGCAGATGTGCCCCATCTGTCCTTGGATGTCCCCTTCCTAAGAGCACCGACAAGCTGCTCTGCCCCTCCAGGAGCTGGGACTTTGAAGGCAGGTGACAATGCTTCCACCTGGCCCCGCAGCACCTGGAACTGGGCTCTGTGCCTATGGGTGCACAGCAAAGCTCGGCCTCCTGTGGGGCTGCCCACGCCAGTCCTGGGGGAAGCTAAGCCCTGGGAGGTGTGCAGCGTCAGGGGAAGGAAGCTTCCTCCCCACACAGCACAGGTTTCTCCGGAACAGAAGCTTCTTTCTAAGGGCTACTTACCTCTCCCTCCTCCCGAAGCCGCCGGAACCCATCGTGGAACAGGGAGGTACAGCCTTTGGGTGAGTGGGTAGGGGTGTCGGATGCACTGAGACAAGGAGATCCCCCACCCCAGCTCTGCCACTGACCCTTGTGTGTCCCCAGCTTAGTTGCCCTTCGCTGCCCTATCCAGCCTTCAGTCCCAGTGCCCGCTACATCAGCCCCACCAGCTGCTGCTCACTGGCCCTGACTCGCCACGTCAGCAGCTGGGACCCGGGTGCTTTGGCCCAGACCGTGCTGGCTGAGACCACACGGAGAGCACCGTATGGGGGACCACCACCTGGTCCGCGGGGGCCTGTTCCCCACTTCTCCCTCTCAGCTGGCAGACCTGGCCGAGCGACACCTGCCACGTGTCCCCCAGACCAGGAAGTCCGATGCAGGCGCAGGGCCTGAGACCAGGGGCCAGGGGACTTGAGGGGTGCTGTCC